CTTATCATTGTCATGACTTTTTCTTTTTGTTGGTTTCTCCCCCTTTACATTTAATTTCTTGTTGCGCCCAATGTATTCATTCTCCTGTGCTTCCTGGGGTTGTGATCCTCATTGTCTTTTCCTAGGATATTGTCTAAAGTTTTTTGGAGGCTGGTTTGGTATTCATGAAGTTCCTAAGGTGCTCTTTGTCATGAAAATGTCTTATTTCTCTATGAATTTTGAAAGATAGTTTTGCAGGGTACATTAATCTGGATTGGAGGCTGTTTTCCTTTAGGGCTTGGAATACATCAGTCCAAGCTTTTCTTGCCTTGAAGGTTTGCGTTTCAAAGCCTGCTGTGATTCTGATGGGCTTTCCTTTGTATGTGATTTGTTTCTTTTCTCTAACTGCTTGTAGAACTTTGTTCTTCTCTTGGGTTTCTGGAATCTATTTTTTGTGTGTGTGTGTGGTACTGGGGATCGAACTCAGGACCTTGCATTTGTGAGGCAGGTGGTGGAACCACTGAGCTAAATCCCTCACCTGGAATCTTAACAATTATATGCCTATGTGTAGATTTGTTTTGATCAAGGCTAGTTGGAGTCCTATATGCCTCATTTACCTGTATGTGAAGTTCTTTTCCCCTGCTTGGAAAGTTTTCTGCCATTACTTCTGTGAACAGTTTTTTTTATGTCATCTGCACTCTCTCTCCTGTTTCTTCATTGACTCCAATTATTCTTCTTTGCATCATCCAGCAGCTGCTGGATTGATTTCTCATGTTCCCTTATAATTTTGAAGCAATTTTTCTTTTCCTGGTCACTAATTGCAATCTTATCTTCTATATCTGAAATTTTGTCCTCACATTGGCTCATTCTGCTGTGTAGACTTTCTTTTTTTTTTTTTTCTTTCTATTTTTGAATTGGGGATTGAACTCGGGACCTTGCACTTGCAAGGCAGGCACGGGAACCACTGAGCTGAATCCGCAGCCCTGCTGTGTAGACTTTAAATGGAGTTTTTTATCTCCTGGAATTCTGTTTGCATCTGTTTTATGGATTTCATTTGTTTCCTATGTTGAGATTCTATCATGTTCCTGAGCTCCCCTGTAGATTTATTAATCATGTCATGCACTATGAGCATAATTTCTGCTGTTATCTGAGAAATTATTTCTGATTTCATTTTTTCCAGATCCTCTTTTGTTGGCAGTTCAGGGAGTCCAGGTGGTTGAGTATCAGAGTGTTCCATCTCATTTCCTTTTGGGATTGCTGTAGGTGATCTGGAAGTCTGGCTTTGAGATTTGTTTTTGTGTCTTCTCATTTCAACGGTGGGGAGGCAGGTGGGTGTGTGCTGTTGGTGCCCACACAGCTCATGTCCTCTGTGCTGTGAGCAGCGGTAAGGTGGCCCGGAAGCCCCTACCTCTTTTTTTTTTGTACCAGGGATCAAACTCAAGACCCTGCACTTGCAAGCCAGGCACTGGAACCACTGAGCTAAATCCCCGGCCCCTGTCCCTACCTCTTCAAACATTAATTTGTTGTTGTTATTGTTATTATCTAGGGGAAACTTGTCATTGGTAAAGACAAATACAAAAGAATTGGTCAATTTTTTTAAAAAGAAACTTTGGTTCTTAATAGAAGAAAATCCTGATTCTGAAACAAGGTAATAGTGTTTTTATTTATTTTATTACTACATACTTGCAGTGCATGATGATTACATTTATTGTGGCAAGTTGGTACATGTACATAACTCTTCTCAATTCTTTTTTATCCCATCTCTTCCTGCTCTAAAGGTTTAAAATTGAAGAAGAATTGCTAGGTCTCTCCTTATCTGTAGTGTTATTTTCCATGGTTTCAGTTACCATGTCCATGTTGGTCTACTTAGAACATATTATTTTTAGTTTATATTTTTGGGGGGTTTCTTGAGACAGGGTCTTGGTATGTAGTTCAGTCTGGCCTTGGACTCACCATGTAGCTCAGGATGACATTGAACTCATCAATCCTCCTGCCTCAGTCTCCCAAGTGCTGGGATTACAGGCATACACCACCGTACCCAGTCACCTAGAACATATTAAATGCAAAATTCCAGAAATATGTAACTCATAAGCATTAAATATTTTGATGTTCTGAGTAGACTGATGAAATCTCACACCATCCTGCTAGTGTATCCACAGTGTATGTGCTACCCACCCTTTAGTCACTTAGCAGCCATCTCAGTTATTGTCTCTGTATGGAAGTGCTTGTGTTCAAGTAGCCCTTATTTTACTTAATAATGGCTTCAAAGGGCAAGAGTAGTGATGTTATCAGATTGGATATGCCAAAGAGAAGATATAAAATGTTACATTTAAGTGAAAAGGAAAAAGTTCTCAACTTAATGTGGAAAGAAAAAATGTATGCTAAGGTTGATAAGAAAGAAAAAGATTAGTGCTAGTTTTGTTGTCATATCTCAAATTGCAAAATTTACAGCCACAATGTGTACACACTTAGTTAAGATGGAAAAAGCATTGCATTTATGAATGGGAAATAAAATATAGTATACATAGGGTTTGGTGCTATCTGTGGTTTCAACCATCCACTAGAGGCCTTGGAACATATCCCTTGCTGGTAAAGGATAGGGGGAACTACATAGTAATATGGGGAAAAGGGAAGAAGAATGGACATGATTTCATGTGTCTTCTTAATAATTTGATTTTGCCCAGTCTCTTTGCAGCTAACTCCATTAAGCAGAAAACTGAATGATGTTGATTACAGCTACACAGATGCACTTTGGTATATATAAATGTAAGTCAATGCCAGTAATATGAGAATGACTTACAGTGAAGGAAAGATTCACTCTAAGGACAAAGCAAATTATTAAAAAGAAATTAAAAATTGGCTTTTGACAGCTGAGAGGAAATTATCTAGTAATTTAAAGTGAAATCAATTAAAATATTCACTTATGGATACATTTAGACAGAATACTAAAATACCTTTTAACATGTGTTGTTAAACTAAGGTTAAAATGTGGTTATAGCTCTGCTTCTTTCATATTCATTTACTATGGTATTATTAGATATTTCATTAAAATGATCTCTTAAAAGAAACATTGTGTAGGTTAAAAACATCACTGTGAATCAGAAATTGTGATGAAATTGATCAAAGGTATGATTTAGATTTGGAGAATATTTTGGTGGTCTGTTTTTAGTTATGTGATATTCTAAGACAAAACATTTATATTTTTGAAAATAGAGAATATATTTTTTAAAAATTCAAATTTATACTAGTCTTGGATTTAGAAAATAAATGTAATTTGTTAAAATTGCTATTTCTTGGTTAAGTTGGTTCAAGCCACTCTTCGGCATGACTCTGAAGCTGCAGTGAAAAGATTACTCCTGCAGAAAGAAAGTCAGAAGGGAAATATTTATCATCAATAATTTATTGCCACAGCTTATAAAACTGATCTATTATCTTTACACAGATGCTGAGTTAAACATAATTGGAGTACTAAAAAAAACAATTCAACATTATTAAAACCTGGAAAGACTGAATAATAGATTCAACATACACGAAAGAACTTCAGGGTCCCTCTACTTCAGTTGAGTTAAGTTTGTGACTTATTTGTTTCCGCAGTAAGGCAAATGGTTCAATCTGGGCATGTCAGCAGTGAGTGATCACAATAGTATGATGACCTCACAGTCAAATTTTCCTTTGCACTCCTGTTTTATTTTCCTCCCTTAATATAGTCCGTGGAAACTTGATACAAAAACCCCCAAAAGATGTGGGGGGTGGCAACTGAGGAGAGATGCAGAACAAATGATTTTCAGAAATTTCCTTTCAAGGTACGTAGGTAGAAAATTTGAAGAAAGAATACATGTGAATACGGTAAGTACTAGTTTTGAAGACATGGAATAAGAGGACGTATGGCCAGATTTCTTCTCTGACAATGGAAGCATATCGAATGACAGTAGGTTACTAGAATATAAAGTCTTAAAATGAGTCTTTACAATAGTGAAATATTTGGTATTTCCACGCGATTTTTCCTTTGATCTTCACAACCACCTCGTGAGGTGGGTCAGATGGGCTATCCTTTTGACCCACAGAGGGTTGATGAAATGCTGACAGACCGTATGGTCGTTGCAAAGTCAGGGTGCAAGCCCTGCTCCAGGTCAGTTTTCACCGGCCTCTGAGATCCCTTGGCCCAGGTCCTTCTCTGTTCACAGATTCCAGCTCACAGCCCGCAGGGAGAACTCCAGTAGCTCTCAGGAAAATGCCAGGTGGTGGTAGTGATCAAGGGCACCGGCTTTGTGGCGTCAGAGTGATCTGAGTTTGAATCTTCAGGCCTGCTCTCGCCGTGCAAGACCTTGGGCAATCTCTGAACCTCAGTGTCCTCATCCGCAGAGCAGGTTTGCTTTGCTTTATTCCATCGGGTTTACCGACATTTAAATGATGCAAAACAATAAAAGTCTTAGCCCACCTCTTGGGTCATAGAAAGCGGTAGTGATTCAATTAGTGGCTACAAATATTAGCACGTCTGGGACAGACAGGGAACCATCCGCACGGGTTGGCAAATCTCCATCTGCAAAATGGGCGCAGCCTGGATCGCAGTCTTAACAGCAAACATCAGTTTGCAAACAAAACTACAACCACCTCCACCCCTCTATTCTGAATGACATTTGTTTAAAAAATGTGGGAGCGGGAGGAACAGATCAGAATCTGCGGGAAACATTACCAGGGCAATTTAAAAGCGAGAGGGCTGGGGATGGGAGAGAGGGGAAAGCAAGGAAGTGTTTTTGTGCTCCAAATAGCTGGGACCCCAGTCACAGAAGTTCAGCCAGGACGCCTTCTCTGGTGGACTCTGGGGAGGCTCAAAACACTGGGAAAGGAATCAAGGAGGAAGGTGTGGGACTCGGGCTGTGGGCGGGGCTGAGGTGTGGGCGGGGATAAGGGCGGAGCTTCGCAGTGTTTCTCTGCTGCGCGCGCCACGTCTCCCTCCCGGAGCTTGTGGGGAACTGTCCCGGGAGGGAGAACCGGAGCGGGGCGGGAACTTTCTCCTCTCGCGAGAACTGGCGACGGTCTCGGCGGTGGCGGCGGCGTGTCAGTGAGAGTAGCGTGGGGGCGGGGAGGAGAGGCGGCGGCGGCGGCGGCAGCGGTGGGGACCTTCGAGCGACGCCACACGGGGCTGGGGCGCTGGGAGCGGGGAGCAGCGCGGGGTCGTGGCGGCGGCGGTGAGGGAAGTGAGGAGGAGGGGGAGCCATGGCGGGGCAACAGTTTCAGTACGATGACAGCGGGAACACCTTCTTCTACTTCCTCACCTCCTTCGTGGGGCTCATCGTGATCCCAGCCACATACTACCTCTGGCCCCGAGACCAGAATGCCGGTGAGTTCCGCCGGCGGCCGCCCGCGGATCGCGCAGGCTTCGCAGCGCTTCCGGGCCCCTCTGCTCGCGCCCGTCCGCCCAGCCGGCCCGGCCCAGCCCGCCGCGTCCCGGTGACACCGCCCGCGGCCGGGCCTCAGTCCGCACTCGCATGGCCGGCGGGGCCCTCCCTGGGAGTCTCCTTACCTCCCCTCATTGTCCTCGGGAGTTTCGCTCCGCACCCTCTGCCCTTTGTTCTGGACACTCCTTGCAGCCTCCAGCTGCCCCTTTGTCTTCTCTGCTTTTATTATGTGTCTTTATGGAGGGAGAGGGGTGGGGTGGATGGGGAGGTGGGAATTGGGAGGTGAGAGGAGTTGGACTAGGAGGATACCGAGGGTTCAGGCCCCACTCAGAGCCCTCTTTCCCTTACCCCCAGCCACGACCCTCCTCCCCTCGCACTCAGTTTCCCTGTTGCAGCTGTTGTTACACAGGTTTGGGGGCACCCTCAGAACTGTGGCGTGTTTAGAACTGCCAAGTGAGCTTCCCGGCGGCCCACTCCCGTCATTTCCTCTCATTGCTTTTTTCATTTGTTCACTCACACTGTGAGAGTGGGAAGCAATGCTGTTATTCCTCTTTGCAAAAACAGGCTTTTCTCTATTTCTTTTGGAGTTTCCTGTTTATGACGGGGGAAAAAAGTGCAAGAAGGAAGGATTAATTCTTCGTTTAATCTTGTGGGTATTTGTAAGGTAGCCTGGTCCATTTGCTTTTAGTTTTAAATCTTTTTCACATTAAACATCATCATGTTAGAATACGGAATAACATTTTTTTTCCGTGGTGTTTTGTTTGGGTAATGTTGGATTTCATTTGTTTTCACTATACTAAGACCTGGCATGGGACATTCTTACATTTGGTGGAACTGTAAGTACCTAGTGGGTTATTTATGGTAATGTTAACAGTAACTAGCAGCTTTTGAGTGTTAATAGCATTTAGGGAAAGCTTTCTGTTGCAAAGAATTGTATTAAGTTTATCTCAGATAGAGTGTGGTGGAGCTCTATGTTGTCCAGGTTATGTGTTGTGCTCCTGGAAGTTGTTAACAATGAACCCCTGAGTCAGTTTAGAACTTGTTGGAGACGTTTCAATGTTCTGTAAAATTCTGGAGTTACATAATGAAACTAAAATACAGTGAATTTAGGATGAAGAGTAATAAAAGATTCTTTTTGTACATTTGACAGTAATTTGAAATAGCCATTAAAAAAAAAATCTGGCCAAAGTCACCAGTCTTACTAGTATTCTCATTCAATAGCTAGGTTACAAAATTTGGATTTTTTTTTTTTTTGAAGCAGGGTCTCACTGTGTAGTTCAGATTGGCCTTGAACTCCCTATGCAGCCTAGGCTGGCCTCAACCTTGCTGGGATCCCCTGGCTCAGCCTGCCAAGTGCTGGAATTGCAGGTGTGCACCACTACGCCCATCTAAAATTTGGATTTTTGAACTTCTGTTTTTTCCTAAGTACATTTAAATTGCATGGATTCTAAGACAGTGATTGTGTGTAAGTGATGAAGTCTTAATAATGTAATGTGTTTTCTGGTCAGCAAACCTAGGCCATTATATTTCAAGTTAAAAGGGTCCATTTTTCAGTGGTTTATTTTCACTTTTCACCCATTTTGGTGTGCAGTTGATTGTTTAAAAGACAAGGGTAGCTTGGTTTGGTGTGTGCGTTGTTTTTGTTTTTTTTTTACGACATTATCTCCCTAAGTTACTAAATTACTCAAGCTGGCCTCAAACTTGAAATCCTCCTGCCTCAGCCTCCCAGAGTGCAGGGATTACAAGCATGTGCCAACATGCACAGTTTAGAATGTGTTTTGAGAAGTTGCCCTGATTTCAGAAATTATTCATCACTTTAAGTGGATTTTTTTGAAATTTGAAAGTCATTTTTCAATGGGTTTTGTGTTAAAATTTGTCTGATAACATATCACAGGCAAGTCGTACTTGAACCCTTTTAGGTACCGGTGGTCTTTGGAGAAATGATTGTAGCGTAGGTAGGGGGAAACTAATATTGACCACTTGTAAGTCATAGACTTAAAATGTTGATGTAATCCTTTTAAAAATACAGTGAAGCTGGTTGTGGTGGCACACACCTGTGATTCCAGGACTCTGGAGGCTGAGGCTGGAGGAGGAGGCTGAGACAAGAGAATTGCTCTGAGTTCAAGGCCAGCCTGAACTACATAGCCAGACCCTGTCTCAAAAAAAAAAAAAAAAAAAAAAAGCAATGAGATTCTGTTATCCCCGTTTTACAGATAAAGAAACTGGACTTTGCAAGGTATAAATAACTCCTCTGTGGTGGAGCCTGGATTAAAACTTTGGTCAATTTAGCTTCAAGGCCATTTATTTCCATATTCAGAGATAGAAAATCAGGTGAGCTATGGGAGTAGATTTGTCTCTTACCTTTACACCTGGCTCTTTGTTTCAGACTTAGTAAATACACACATTTAGTGTATTTGTTGGTCTTGCATAATAACAATTAAATGCTATTCTAATCATTAAAAATCAGTGGACACCATTTGAAGTTTTTTCGTGGGTTTGCCATAACTTGAGTTGTTTCTTTAGAGTTACAGTAGTATTAAAAGGATGTTTTCATTATGGTAGAGCCCCCCCCCACCAGTTGCATTTTCCTCAATATCAAAGAGAAATCTTGAGTTACAGATTAGTTCAGAGCTCTGGAAACAAAGTTCAGATGTTTGTAGCAAAATAAATTGTTAACTTGTAGAGTTAGAATACTTAGTAATCTTTATTCATCTTAGAAAATAATGACATTTCCTTTTTGGAAAATTTATATGGTTACTGGTGCTGTTTTAGACCTTCTAGGGGATGTTAGGGTAGAAACACTTTCAAAAATCTGAAAAATTTTGAAGCATTTCTGACCAAAGTTTCTGAATGTAGAATGTGGACCCGAAGTAGTGGGGTTTTTTTTGTTTTTTGTTTTTGTTTCAAATTCAGGACCTTGTGATTTCGATACTGGCAGCGGAACCACTGAGCTAAATCCCTGGTCCTGCAGTAGTGTTTTTGATTAACACATAATATGTATTAATATTAGTTTTTGAAGGTTATTTAGTTTTCTTGTGAAACTGTTAAGTAGCCAAATACAAATAAATGTAGGCATGAAGGGCCGGGGATTTAGCTCAGTGGTGCCACTGACTGCCTCTCAAGTGCAAGGTTCTGAGTTTGATCCCCAGTACTGAAAAAATATGTAGGCGTGAGTTTGAATTTCAGAGTTCTTCTGACAGTCTTGACTTTTCAGATATCCCCTTTGCACAAAAAGATTAACTTTGCCAATATACATCTTTAAGTTTGTATTTAAGCAGTCCATACCTTGCTTTTTTTCTTTTGATGACACATATTGGGCTTTCAAAGTTGACAGTGTGGCTCTTTGGGGATTATTGGGCTCTTGAGTACATTGGAAAGTGTAGTGCCATTTCACACACTGTGAAATCTAGGGTTTGAAAAATAGAAGTAGCTTGGTTACTGGCATATTTGACACGTTAATTGAACTTTCTTATCCAAAACATGATTAATGAAATCCTTGTGCCTTTATTTTTGTCTTAATGCGTTGGGCTATGAGTACTTAAAATTCACAATCTGATGGTGAAGGGTTGTATTTGTCTTACTCTTGGTTGTTTGCAAATTGGCTGAAAAAAATGACAATACTTATTCAGGCAATTACGGACAAAAGCTCCACGTGAAAAGTAATAACATGAAGGGTTTAGAATGCCTTACAACAATGGCTCTCAATTGTGGCTACACGTTAAAATCACTTGGGGAGCTTTACAAAACTCCATACCAGATATTCTGATTTAATTGGTCTGAAGTGGGTGCCTTATATTGGTATTGTAAAAGTTTCCTACATGGTTCCAAATTGTAGCTGTTTTTTGAGAAGTGCAGGTTGCTTTTTTTTTTTTTGGTACTGGGGATCAAACTCAGGACCTTGCGCTTTCAAGGCAGGCGTGGTACCACTGAGCTACCTACCCCCCCCCACCGCCCCCCAAAGTGCAGTTTTGAGGAGAACTTCCTTCAGTGGTCTTTTACTGAATTTGTCATTTTGAGTGGTGGTATATTTGTTTTGGTATGTGCTCTTTGCTAAAATCACCAACCCACCCAACTTTGAAATGAATGTCTTAGCCTTTGTGTTTCACAAAGCTAAGAAATGCTTATTGTAAAACAGTGCTGTAAAGTTCTGGTAGTTGAAAGCCAATTATTATTTTTTTCAAAACAACTTTAGTAATACATGTTTATAACCAGTTTATCTTAATCCTCTATTAATAACGTCCCAAATATTTATCAATGTGTTGTGGTTGGAGCCTTACAGATTTTGGATGTCCTTAACATTTTAAAATAATTCCACCATTAACCTAGTCAATCCACCTTTGGTGTTGCCCAAAATACTATACTATGACATTTTGTGTGTACCGCCCATTTTGTTCTTTCTTTCTTTCTTTCTTTTTTTTTTTTTGGTACCAGAGATCGAACTTGGGTCCTTGAGCTTGCACAGCAGGCTGCGAAACCACTGAGCTAAATCCCTGGCCTTGTTCTTTCTTAATGACAAATGTTAATAGTTGCTGGTGCTTTTTAAATGATGATATTCTTAATGTTTATATGTAATCTCAATCTGACCATTATTTTTTAGAGCATAATTTTGTTTACTACTCCTTTGATTTGCAATAGAAGAGTTATTTTAAATTATTCTCATTGTTATACTAGGTTCACATTAGTGTATTTGACAAGAGAAGATAACTGATTACTTGTGATTATTTATAGAATTTGAAATAAAAACATGCTTTCTTTCCATAGGTTAAAGATTATAGGTCTTTTGAATTAAGATTATTACCTTTTCCAGGTTCTTATTTATTTTTCGACTCCTTGATCTTACTTTTTCAAAACTTACTTGACCTTACTTCTTTGACCTTTGCTTACTCCTTTGAAACTTGCTTCTGCAGTTTACTGATTTTAGGCAAGTTATTTAACTTCTATG